GCTAATCTAATAAATAAATAAATCATGATAAAAATACAATTAATTTCAATGCCAATTTTATTGGATTTATAATCAAAACAAGCGTCTCAGTAAGATGAATTTGATAGTAGCATAATACCTTGATCCTGATCTAAATATGTCTGAATCAAACGCTCAAAAGCATAATAAAAATTTTCATGAGACTATATATAAGAGACCGAACAATCTCTACAATTTAAATGCCCATAATTAAGACGAGCATCTCAACAATCTGAATGGAGTATATGATTGCCAAGTTATTATATGAATAATCAACTAAGATATTTAAGAAAAAAAAATCAAATTATTAAGAGATCAATTCAAGCCTTTAAATAGTCTCTTGATTATTTCCTCGCTACTTTTGTAAGAAAAATAACTCGGCATACCACCACTATCACTTAATGGTCAGAATTAATGGCACCTAAATGTTCCTATTAACCAATACCCATTTTCATAGTCATCAATATCTCATCATAGAAGGGAGAATAATCGAAAATACTATAGGTAATTGCTCAAGTTCAATCTTCTACATTCAAAGTCGCTCACCACCAATGACTGAAAACTAATATCTATCAACGACCGACAACAAATTTGTATCTTCATAATCACTCATTCCCTCTCCTATAAAAAGAGCGATCGAGACGATCATATTTTCATCATCTCCCAAAGTCAACTTTGACGAGTAAAGCCTCTTACAAATGTCAAAAGATATATCTTAAATAATTCATTTATACGACATTGTATTAACACCATCAATTATAAGAAAGACGACTTAAATAATATTCAACTTCTAGTTTCAAAACCCTTCCAACCACACTAAGGTTTCGTTTGGGATGGTTTTTTTATTGCTTCTTAAAACAGCTTTTTAATTTTTGTACTAAAAAATAGTTTTAAGAAACAGTAAGAAAGCCGTCCCAAACGAAGCCTAAATCCCATCACTTTTTATCTTCCAAGATTTTCACTTTAAAAACTTATTAGCTATATTTTGGCTCCCGATAAACCCTCTCTCCACCATGAATAACTTCTCATTTCCTTTTTAACAAAATAACCCATACTTTTATAACAATTAATAAAAAAAATAATAATAATTTCATGATATTAAGTAAAATAAACTTTAAATTTTTCTCAACTGCTATTTTATAATGCATGATGGGCGTAAATAAGTTGACCCAAAGGTTAAGCTCATGCTTGATTAATTTATCAAGTTTAAGCTCGAATTTGAGCTTTATTCTACAAGTTCAAATTAGTTCACTTATTAGAAAAATAAGATCAGTCTTAATGAAGTAATAATTATAATAACATTATAAAATGAATAAAAAAACTAAATAAGAAATAATTAGAATAACATGAAATAAGAAAACGGCATAATTTTTAATATTTTTAACTTTCTGTTAAACCTATTAAACTTTAATTTATCTTAATTATATTTTAGATTAAAAAATTTTAAATGATCTAGCCCACCAACTAACAAGTCAACTTAAGGCTATTTCAAACTTGGGTCATTCCTTCTTTGAGTTGAATCATGAGCCATTTATTAAGTCGAGTCGAGTCAAAACCAACTCCCGATTCAACTCGACTCAATTACATTCCTTAAATGCATTTACCATGCTTATCAGCATCTCCAAAGATATAAATAGCTTGCAACAAGCTTTGGAAGCCATGCAAGAGCTCCAGGAAGAAAGAAACCAATTATCCCACAATATTCACATTTCACCACAGTGAACATATAACATCAAGCAAGTTGACATATATTTGAACATCTGGAGGCAAACAATATTCTTGCATTGTTCGTCATGAAAACCTCAGAATGAGGAGTTAAGATTGAAGCAAACCAGCAGCTGCTTAATTTCCACAAACAAAATAGTACCTGGATGCAGCTGCAATCTTGATCATTAAAGAAGTTTTGGTCCTCGTAAGAAATATTATTCAATGAGATCCGGTTAGGGTTTAGGGTTTCTCACGTCTATGAAATCTGATCACTCAAGAAAGATTGCTGAATGAAAGAGTGCTCGGGGAATCGATTCTTACAATTACCTCGCCACCTGAGTCGTCACTGGAATCATCTCCTTCAACATTCCTCTGTCGCCTTCGCCGAGGCAATGGAGGCGTCGGTGCTACCCTAAATGGTTCTCTGGTACCAAGCCTTGTGTTCATGCTATTTCCTTCAGATTGCACAGATACAAGCGGTCGGACATTTGCTGCCGTCCCAGTGGGTACTCTAGGATATGACAAACTATGATTTTTTGGGCCTTGAGAAGATCTGCGGAAGCTTCCGAATTGCCCTCGCATGTCATTCATCTGTGAATAAAGATTCAGTGTAAGAATGTGTCGAGGATTTGGTGAAAATGAGAAACATGAAATAAAAGGATTGTTAGAGCAACGGCAGTATAGCAACCGGTGCTCTAACCGGACGTCGAGACTAATCGGTTGAAGAGAAGTTATAGTTAGAGCACCGGTCCGCGCCACCATACAAACCTGTTTGTACTTTCTTGTGTACCTTCTTGCTTTACCGCCTGCATGGTTCTCTATATATATCTCTCATGTATCTGTTGGACAATAATATAGAACCATTCTCTTTATCTTCCTCGGTCTTTGCTCTTCCTGTTCTTCTTGTCTGTTATTTCCTGTTCAAGAATTCTATCATGATATCAGAGCTCATTTGCTTCACAGCTCCCATCTGATTTCATGGCAGAACAAGATTCCGCCGCTTCTCACCGGACGGCTTCTAACATCTCCTGACTCTCTTGCCGAGTTTGTTATCCCTAACCCTTTCAAATTTCTTATTTCTAACATCAAGAAGGTACACAAGAAAATACAAACGAGTTTGTATGCTGATGTGGACCGGTGCTTTAACAAGAATAATCATCATTCTAAAATTCACATACCATGCTTCCATATATGCTCAGTTCCATTGCTCTGGCTGACAAACTGGTCTGTGTTGTCTCGTTCACAAAAGAATTCCTTGCTGTAAAGAAATTCTCTGGCCAACTCATCAGGCCTTCATGGTTACTACTAGAGGCTCGAACGGGTTCATTGGACTGTGAGATCCTTGAAACCGTCCTCCTTTGACTATCCATTTCAGCAGCACCAAGATCAAAAAAGATTACTCGTGCCCTTGTTTCAACATGATAAGAGGAGGCAGAATGGCAAAAGCTTGCATTTTTGAAACCTGCATTTATTTGTTGAAATGTAGGTTTGAAGAATTGTGATTTTGCATATATAGGTTGGTTATTCTTGATTGCCCATCATTGAAAAAATTTATGCGTGTTTTCTATTATTTTTTTCTACTATTATATTTGATGTGATACGTTCAAGAATTGCACATGAAATTCATTAAGAATCACAAAGTTTACCACTGTAAGATTAGACTTTTCGTAAGTTAAGATTCAAGCAATTTTATGTTAACGAAATGTTATGATAAGCGGTTACAACTAGTGTTGAGGCACAATTAATGAAGGATCCCAAAAGTTATACAATAAAGCAAATGCGGAAATAATAGAATCCCACGGCTAATGTTTAGAAAGTTCACAACGAGTACCTTGGTCACTCACACTCAAGTCGGGTTTAGTGGGAGAAGGCCTTTAGCAAACTCAACGATGCCACGAAGATGATGGCCACACCAATGGCCTTTTAGCCACGGAGAGGTTGACGGTGACGAGGATGGCGTGAATGCTTGACTGTCGAGACTCCAATTGTAATTTGAAAATCGTTGGTCGAAGATGCTTGCAAGGATCGGGACGACTCTCTCCAAATATTCTTCCACGGTGGTTTCGTCTTCAAATCCTACGTCGAAGCACGGAGATCGTAAGATGTTGATGCTTCCGTCGACGTTGAAGACTAGTCCCCACTCAAACTCCGGATCCAC